GTAAGGTTTCTATATTGACAGTGTGGTAAACTTTATAAGTCTCAGAACTCACAATTAAGAATATGTTTTAGCTATGGCTTTTTATGATTTAACTTTAAAATTGGCTTAGCCACCATAGTATATGTGATCCATTATACCATGCTCTACAAATATGGTAAGCATAATGTGCATATTATTAATTTTTGGGGGCATAACATTTTATGTTTTCATTTTAGTTTTCTCTATATATAAACAATAGCCTCCATATGGGGCGGGAATATGCTTGGATATTTGTCCGTGGACATTATCTGTTCTGAAAAGTGAACAGTTCTCTAAGAGCATGTTTATTATCCTTCAAATATTTTTGAAAATGGGGAATTTCACTTGGATGTTCCCAGTTTTAGCTGGGGAATATTCAGTCATGTGATGCATTTAGACCAATTGCGTGTGAGCAGAAGTATTTGATGGATGATAATCAGAAGTGTTTCTAATAATTTAACAATTATTCCTCTCATGCTTGTCGGATCTGAGATGATTATAGCCAACTTGACACTATGTGTCTTGTTCACTATCTACCATCTCATGTCCAACGTGCGCTCGTGGAATAATTGTTGAACATTAATTTGTTTATTACTTTAAATTTCAGCTGAGTGAAGAAAACTATCCAAATGCTAAGGATTTGGATAAGTATCTAAATAAGAGTGGTCTGAAATTGGAATACAACTCTACCTTCAAAAATGCCATCAGCTTTAACAAGAGTGTTGTTCATGTCCCTACAGATGTCTATAATGGAGGTAAGGTCACATTTGACAGTTTTCAATACTCTTTACATGTAGCTTGCAATACAATACTGAAACTTTATATAGTAAATTTGGAGGCCTCCATGGCTTGTTTTCAAGTGGAATGGTATTCTAAAAGGATATTCCATGACATTTATAGCCAAATTTCACAGGTCTCATAGTTTCCAATGTTTTTAGTGCAGAGTGCACTATTGGGATGGTTTAGGGGGCTGCTGTTTAGTCAGGCACTATGCTCTAACACAGTAAGGTGTAAAATTTAATGTTTGTTAAATTAATTAATTAATTAATTAATTTCAATTAATCAATTAGTCTTGTGGGAAGGGGGGCTGGGTGAGGACCTGTGTGACTACTGTATCAGAGCCGTAAATTACACCCTGCACTATCTGAGATTGTCTCACTAGTTGGAGCATGTCTCAATTTCTTTTGCAAGGCTATGAACTCATAAAAGTAACATACCATTTGTTGAATTCACTGTTCTTGCCATCTAATTTTTCTCAAAGCTCTGTCAGAGTCTTTTGTTTGCAAAGCTAAGAAAGTCTCAATGCGAGCACAAGACGTACAGACTCTATTAAGAGCTGTTCAGATAATGATGATGATGATGATAATAACAATAACAATAATAATTATAAAACAAATTGGGACCTGAAAACCCTTTGAAGTCTCAGTGTCCCAATTTAAAAAGTCAAAATGTTTCAGGCTCCCAAAGAAAAATGCTAGTCTTGCCTTCTAACAAGGTGTTACTAGTTTAAAATGTTTGCATTCAGTAAAGAGATATGATATGTTTTTGGGCTTGGAAGTTGAACTGTGAAAATTTTATTTACAATTGGCAGCTTCAGAGATTGTCAATGGAATCAGCTGGACATCAGCTCTGGATACTGTGTTTGATGACAACCGACATGACGACCCAAGCTTGTCTTGGCAATACTTTGGTTCAGATAAGGGATTTATGAGAACATATCCTGGTATGATATTCAATTATTTGTGTTAAAACAGAGAACAAAAAAAATATATTTTGTAATTATATCATTTTTTAACTTAACTGTAGACATGCATGTCAAACTGGCTGTCACACACTAAAACTAGCTATTTCTTTTCAGCCAAACGCTGGGACAATAACAATCCAAATCATGTTGATTTATATGATGCCAGGAGACGACCTTGGTAAGGGGGTACAGAATTTGTTAGTATGTAGGTATCACAAAGTTATGGAAAGGTGATGCAAATGCAAGGAATTTGAAATTTGTTTTTCAGACCTGAAAACCTCAGGGAGTTTATGAATATTTCTTGTGGTCACCGGTGGACCTAATTAAGGCCTTACAACACTAACTTTTTAAATTTCCTCCTACCTGAAAAATATACACTTCTGGCTGAAAACTACTCTTCAGCATCAAAATGACTTACACTTTTACTTCTCAAACTCATTTATTATTCAATCATTAAGTTTAAACAAAGGAAATGATAATCGTGACGGTGTTAAGATATTTGATTTCAATTAGCATAGATTTTTATAACAATTATTATTATTAATTATTTCCCCATTTACTCCTTAGCCTTAGTTTTAGTTTCGATTCAGAAGATTATATAAAACACTCAAGGTCATGCTTGGACACATAATTTTTCAAACACCTTGAAATTGGTCAAAAACACCTCTCTACAGTCATGTCTTATTTTCAACTCTCTTCTCAGTGTTTAAAAATGTGGTCAAACACAGTCTTTTGTGTTTGATATATTACCTCAAAACCACTTATTTCAGATCTAAATTTTACCTCAAGACCACTTATTTCAGATCTAAATTTTAGCCCCAGTATCCAATTCCCACCTGACAAATAACAAAAGCTTATCCACCTCCAGAGTGCAATCTTCCAAGTTTGAAATCTTTGCTTTCTCTTCAAACATTTATGTACTTCCATCTCACATTTTCAACCTTTGTCTAAACTGTAAGTACAATCAACATTTTACTGTAACTTCAGTTCTAGGAGGTGCTTTAGCGGGGAGCAGGGGTGGTGCAGTGGTGAGAGCGCTTACCTCCCACCAATATGGCCTCAGTTCAAATCCTGGACCCGGTGTCATAGTGGGTTGAGTTTGTTGTTGGTTCTCGTCCTTGCTCTGGGGGTTTTTCCCTGGGTTTTCCCCGGTAAATCAACATTTCTAAATTCCAATTCGATCGGGAATTCGAGGGCCACGGGCTTGTCAGTCTTAAGGCTGTTGTGTATTACCCTTGTTGAACAAAGTTAATTAATGTATTTATTTATTTATTTTGTTAATTCTCACTTCCTTCTGTTCAAGGTATATTCAAGGAGCGACGTCCCCTAAGAATATTATCATTCTTATTGATGCAAGTGGAAGTATGCATGGAGTGCCCATGAGAATTGCAAAATTATCAGCTCAGAATCTTATTGACACCTTTGGAGATAATGACTTCTTTAATGTTGTTTATGTGAGTACATACCTAATAAATATATGACTGTGTAATGCTTTTGTTTTGGGAATTTTTGCAAGTTCACTGAAAAGTAGTGCTGCCAACTCCTGAAAGGATTATTGTAGACCTTGAGACATGATCGCCTAATAGTAAGCCACTCCTGATTGAGCGGTCCAGGTTCGAGTCCTGGCCTGGGAGCGGGAGAGGGGTGGTTTTTAAAAAGAAGGTCAAAGCCTACTTTTCTTCTTTGGGCTCGAACACTGCATATCATATAAAAACCAGTTGTTTTTGGTACCTTATATTCAATGTATATTTAACAATTAGATTATGAGCTCGAGATTTCCATTGAACAATTAGATTATGAGCTCAAGATTTCTATCAGGTGATAGTTGATGACGCCAAAGGCCGAATCAACTATGTCAACTCATAGAAATCGAGAGCAAATAATCTAATTGTTTTAGTAGAATTTTTACCTAAATTTTCTTCAACTAATCATTTCCAATTGTTTTTGTACAGTCGTATTTAAATTGACACTNTATATATCAAAGAAATAAATGGCGGGAATAATTATCAGCAACTAAGCAACACCCACTGTCTTAATGTGTAGAGGATGAAGATAGTCATGATTGAAGCTAAAAATTAACCAACTACAAACTGGCAGTTTGTAGTTGGTTAATATCAAGTAATTAAGAAATAGGTAACATGTTCTGTGTTTCTATTGAGTTATAGCAATATGAGTGGAAGTTTTGGAGAACAAGAAATGTCGTGGGAACACGAACCGACAAGCAAGTGTTTCCACAGCTTTTTCAAGTTCTCCCAAACTTCCATGAGTGTTTCTATATATAAAGACGATACAAGTTACAGGGAGAACATGTTTTGTATTTCTTTTAGAAGATTCTGCGACAAAGAAGAGAAAACACCTTGTGTACTGTGATCATCAAAATGTAAATTCTTTTTGCTTGCACCATCATTACGTCAACAGCTCGTGCTAGTTCTGTGTTTCCATTGAGTTACAGAAACACAATTTTAAACCAATCAGTGCGTGCATTTTCTTTGGGCCATTTTCTAATACACGATAGATTAGAGTCATGAAACCATTACCAAAGATATCACTCCGGTCAATCAGGAAAGACACAGACAATCCAATAAATCAATCAAAACTAAGAGTAAACACAAGTAACTAAGGCGAAGGGAGGGACACCATGTGAGCTCATTGCGATTGGTTTTGGTTTTACTTCTGATTGGATGAAAAAGTGGTGCATGGTTTTTAAGCGTAATGTGTAGTGTAGTAATGGAAAACCAATTACTTTTTGACACTAATGTGAACACCACTGCATTACCTTTGTGGTTTCTAATTCTTGAATTATTTTAATTTACAGTATGTGAAAAGTAAACTGCAAGACATAGTAGATGGCAATGTTGCTATGTGGAAAAATGGAATGGAAAAAGCTTTTGAACTTTTGAAGAAGGTGAATTAACTAACTGTAGTTTACTTTCATTTCAAGGGTTTTGTATAAGTCTAAAATAGATTACTACTAACCAGAATATAACGTATCCTCAACTTTTCTCAATGAGTAAAATACTATATAACACTAATGCAGTTGTGGAGGGGTACAGAAATTCCCCCAATGCATGAATAATATAAGGGTCAAGGGTCTGAAAATGGCAATTAGGGCCCCCACACTATTGTGGGAAAGGCCAATATTCACCTGGGCTCTGTTTTGAGTGAGAAAGGGTCGACCTCATCTCCTTTTTACGCTCTGACCCCTTGGACCATTTTGAGTACATCTGGATCAGCTACTGAAGATGATGAACTGGATATAGCAAACATATCCTACTAAACTAATCATGGGCCACCCTGGCTAAATGAAGTTTTTCTCACTCACTTGCTGTTCGTGTGACTTTGTTGTGTTTGTTATACGTAATAAGCATCTTGCTTCTGGCATTCCATCAATATTGAAAATGAAATTAAATGTTTGTCATTTCAGGCCAATAACTGTGCATTGTGCCAACAGGCCATAATGGTTCTTAGTGATGGGACAACTTCAAGTCTTAGTGACCTCTTTGCAGAACACAATCCAGACAAAAAGGTGGAGTATGACCTAAAGAGATGTCAACCCAAATGAGGGAATTCTCAACTAATTGTTGTAACTTATGAATATGTCAATGATGACGAGCAGGACACAAAAGAAATTTTGGAAATAATCATCTTTCAAGTTGATTTCTTAATTTAGACCAACAAGACTACTGAGGCTAATTTTACTTACTCCAGCCAATTGGACGTGGGTTTTTCCCACCCTGTTGAGGCTTTTTGAAACTTGCTACTCGCTCAGTCAAGAGCTTCTCAACGACAAGTCAGTGCATCATTCTTCAGGTTGCTTAGAATGTAAGAAACACAGAATAATCTCAGGTTGTAGCGAAAAGAGAACATTTTTTTTGCGCTAACTACAATGTAGTAGCCTAAAAATCCTTCCCTATTAGCCCTGAAAAACATTCATCACTCACACTACTTCTGTAGTTTGAATTTCCTCAAACGTTTTCTGAAGAAACTCCACTTATTGGGCAAGTGAAAGACAGAATCTTCTAGACTGACTGGAAAACCCACCAGCCCTGGTCTATGGGACAGGAGTTTCTTTGGACACTCAGTCCATATGTTACAAAATTTCTGGTTTCTTGCAGGTCCGGGTTTTCACCTTTGCTGTGGGTCCCCCTGCTGAAAGTACTGAAGCCTTGTACAACATGGCTTGTAGCAACAGAGGTGGGCCCAATTTAAATGTAGCAAGTGATCACCCCTTGCCCTGTGAATTCAGGGAACTGAGATGGTAAATTGATATTTAAAATTATAACAAAAATAACAAAACATAACAAAAATTGCAGATTAAAATAAAAGATAGACATCCCTCTGTGCCACAGCAGTGCTTAGTTACATTAGTCACTTACAGTTCAACTTGCACAACGAGCTGAAGTTACTTCTTAGCATACATGATTATTTCCTAGTTAGACATGTTTGAAAGATAGTTTGGACTTCCAGAGTGGTGACATTTTTTTGTCAACCAGGATGCCTATATTTTCAAGGCGTTAATTTGCTCACACTGTACAAATGCAGTTAGACATACAATATGGTCAACTTTTGATATTTTATAGCAGGACAGTGTTTAGTGAAATTTCATCAGAAAATGTAACTTTTTGGCGGCTTTTTCAGGCTCTGTACAAATAATAATAATAATCAATCTTTATTTGTACTCACTCTTGCTAAAGAAAAAATTACAATTTCAATGGAAATATTAAAAGTAATAATTTGAGTACTAGCTGCCTGGAATAACCATAGGGGCTAGCGGAGCCAGGCAGCCAGTTAACATCAGCATTAAATAGAAATAAAACACAGGTCAGCAAGAAAACTTGAGCACAAATGCACACACAAGAAGAAAAAAAGAAGAGGAAAAACGCTATTTCTGTGCTATGAAGGAAGTCTAAAATAGTTTAAGTTATATATGAATACAAAACATTAATATAAGAAGAGTACTCAATAGCTATGGCAACTAATAACAGCTATATATTAAACTATAAAAGAAAGACTTGGAAAGGTGACAGAAATGAACAAAATACTAATTTACAGGTAAATTGGAAAACAACACAACTGCTAATAAGAACCTAAGTAACTAACCCTGGAATGTTTCTTGAAGTGCAGCTGGTCTTGACACCAACTTAGGTCTTAAAATGTTTACATAACAACTGACGTGGAGGTTCTAATGAAAACCCTTGCACAAAATGTATGATCTGCTTGAAGAAAGCTATATCTTAAAAAAATACAACTTTGTGTTTATATCTTTCAATGATCAGGTTACTTTTCACGCATTCAAAGTGTTGGAGCTGTCCGTGAAGTTAGTAAGGTAAAGTGGTTAGATTTTGATTTATTAATGTAAATAATGAAGATTCTGGAGATTGCCATTCCATTACTGACTCTCAAGAACCTTCAGGGGGGGGGGGGGGGNGGGGGGGGGGGGGGGGGGGGGTTTACTTTTCATTTAGACAAGTTTTCTATTAGGTTAGTTTGTCCTGATGGAAATGTTTAGCATTGTTCTAAACTTCAGGATGTGGAGCAAAATTTCCTATGTAGCTCATCTACCTGACGAAAATGTTAAATTCATTTAAAGCCATTTGCATTGTGTATCTTTAAGCATGTATGCATAGGCCCATTAGCATGGAGTAATTTTGTAACTATAACTTCATAGACCTCTACGAAATGAGCTGTTTTGACCTGGCGCAAATGTTTGACATTGGCTATGTGGGAGTCTGACTAAAATTTTCCCATACAGCTTATTCTCCTGATAACAGCATGTATACTCCAGGCCTTGCGCACTGCAGTGAAGCAGTTAGATACCAGTCTTGAGCACTGTTTCTCATAGGATTCTTTATCTTAGAACTACATTCGTGTGTTGACTCGACCAATGGCAATGGCTCCTAAAGAGAATGCAACTGACCACACAGTATGGACAAGTGTTTATTTAGATGCTTTGGTAAGCAGCACCTTCGTAGCCTTCCAAGTTTATGAATTCATAATCATTCTACGACTTGTAACCCTTTTAATCCTGTTCAATCCACAACTTCGCCATTAAACATGTTTTCTTTGACTAGATACCTGCCCCATGCCCTGATGATTAGATTAGTTTGAAAGGTGTTAACTATTAAGGGAGTTGAGTTCTGCGAAAAGTATCACTTCTTGGGCATAATTAGGTTCTAAATTTATAATAATTGCTTTTTCATTTTGGTATCTGACAATATTTCAGAATATCTCACAGTGATGTTACCATGAATTTTGTAGTTTGGTCAGTAAAATGCCCAAGCATGTGCAGTTATAAACTCTAGTTGTATACGAGTAAGTAACAGCCTGTGTGTCAGAAGTGCATAGAGGTTTTTACAGTGATGATCACATTCATTTGATGGTGTTTCACAGGGACTTGGTATGATGGTTACAGGGACTCTGCCAGTTTTCCACCGCATAAAGGACCCATCTGATTGCTCGGTGAGTAACCTTTGATTGGCTAGTTATTGGACTATTGGACATTTTCTTTGTACCCTGGACTTGACCCTGGACCTTTTTTAGCCGCCTGGGAGCATAGGAGGGAAAGATGTACGTTCTTGTGTAGCCGGGTAGACCGGGAAAGGTTGCACAATAGTTTGATATATTGATCTACCAGTTATTCAGCTGTACTGACTATCTTAGTTAGGAGAAAGAATGAGACCACACGCTTTTGTGTAGACTGTCAAAAGTTAAACGTCATTACTAGTAAGGTGCAGCTGCCAAACTTTGCAATGCCGAATTTTGTGCGAAATTAAATCTACTGACTCTGAAAAAATGATGTGTTGACCACTTACAAGCTGTTTTCAATTTCTTTGGTCCCTGAAATACACCTGCAACCTTCCACTGTATTGAAAGGTTTATCCAGGTTTGAGTCGCATTGGACAACACTTCTTATGTATAAACTAAAAGTGATATAGTTTTGACCTCTAATGCCATAACGTAATTGACATAAAAAGTTTCCAGAGGCTTCTGTGCTAAAGGCTAAAACCACAATTAACAATTACTCCACGAATGTGCGTTGGATATCAGATGTTAGATAGCTATAACCATCTCATATCTAACAAGCGTGATTGGAATAATTGTTTTAATACAAACGCCCTTAAAATACGGAAAGCTAGTCAAGAATAATATAAAAATAAAAACGCCCCAAAGATTACGTGCATGCTTACTATATATGTAGAGCGTGGTATGATGGCTCATATACCATGATGGCTTAGCCAATGGAAACTCTTGAAATGAATTATCCAATGATTCAGTTTTTAACAATTGCCACTATAACGTTTTGTCACATGTCTTCTTTGTTGAAAAAGGATTTTTGTTTTTCATGTCTGCTTATTGTGAGTCAGTCAAAAGATGGAATGCAAGATGAAGAGAAATACAAAGATCATTTTCTGGGAGTCATGGGTACAGATGTTCCTCTGAACTACCTTAAAGAGTTCATCTTACAACCACTGGTTAGTTTAATGTGACTTAACCTATTTGTGATAACGATGTCATTTTTGGAAAATTTGTCCACATTTACAGTGGAGTCGGATCATCCGTCTGAATCAAACTTGGGCAAGTTTAAAATGTACATATTTATTACCAGCCCTGGCTCCTTTGGTTACCTGCCATGATGCTGAATGGACCACCCTGGCTAAATGAAGTTTTATATTACTTTACTTTACTTTACTTTACTTTACATCGTGTGGTAATACGTTTGTGTATCAACGCGTGAAAACAGACCGACCGACCGTGCAGATGAACTGCTTGCTTGAATCTTCTTACACCTCTTGACAAACGACTAACTGTGGATAATTTGTTGGGGCAGACAATCCTTTTGTCTTTAAATTCGTAAATTTGGTGAAATTACTTCCAGTGTAATCGTCACATGTCTGTTTCAAAACTCGTCGTCAATTTATTGGATGCCTGGTTACGCCTTGTAATCATTATTTTTTCAGATAGGAGCCAGTGGGTATGTGTTTGCAGTGAACAACAATGGCATGATAATATCTCATCCACGATTAAAAACTGTGGTGAGTATTTAAACTCAGGACAAGCCCATCATTTACGTGCATTTTTACGCACGACATCAAATGTCTGGCATTAAAACAATCAGGCTACTTGCCTCTACCTGCTATCGCCTCTTGACTTTTCACACAGAAAACGCGCGTTTGGAGAAAGTTTAATCGTTACAAATACCGGTATGCGGGAAAATCCTGGATTTCTACCTGAAAAGGTTTTGGTCGGTGTACTTAAAATGCAGTCATATATTTACCTCACAAAAAGACATTGTGGTGAGGTGGTTACTTTTCACTGTTGATATATTTTGTGTTGTTTTGCAGTATGGCTACTTGATAGACCCTCCGGGGGTTGATCTAGAAGACGTGGAAACATCCGAAAACGACTTAAAAGTTCTTGAGGTACAATGTCAGTAAAAAATGATCCTGTGCCTCGGTGGCTTTTGCCATCTCTTTTCACTTTATGTCTTCAGATTAACCAAGAGGACACCACATGAACCTGTGCAATTCACTGTTTTCTGCCAACTTCAACTCAACATTTGTTTTCTGAAACTACGTCCTGTGTTGTGCGAAGCAATCGTTCGTAGCATCAGTAGTGCTAGTATGTAATCTTCCTCAGAGGCATTCATGTTCTACATAATTTACTGAGGAGCTCTGAGGTTAATGCTGTATTTAATCAGTCAAAAAGGAAATCCGTACTCATGCGTTGGTCCAATTCATGGATTGGTATAATTGTTGTGATCAACATTAAATGATCTGCACGAAAATCAGTCAGGGGACAAGATATTTCGAAACTCATCTCGTGGTTTAGGTTGCTCATTCACGATTTATTTTGCCTTTTTCAGTACAATCTGAAAGCCGGGATTATGCTCTCTTGCTACCAAGTTGAAAGAAATCATTGCCCAAAAGAGAGCTCATGGGTCCAAACATAAAACATGAACATCTTAATTTCGTATGTTGAATAAATTTACTTTGGTGCTTTGTAGCTTAGAAAAGCCATGATTGACACAGTCCCAATAACTGCTGAACCGCCTCCAAGCAACAGCCCGAGCAACAAGACATTTGTAGTCTACGATTTGTCTTTTGACGAGGTATGTGAAATCAGTGATGTAATAATTTCAGCTGTAATGTAAAACTGAAGCTTATGCTAAAATAGCATCCTCCACATTCAAAGCTATTTATCAACAACTTAGTGACTCATACCGAATCTTACATTTGGTTTTTTTCTATTAGCCTACACACTGACAGGCCAATATTTTGTAGGAACGTATTTCCTTCGGTTGCTCGGCGAGAATCCTAATATTTCATTCCTGTTTCACATTAGCAGTGTCAGCGTTGTAATGTTAGCGGTAGTTTGGCAGCAGATTTTGTGTTGACTTTAGGAAACGTAATCTCTTTGTTTCCAGCTGCGAGTGGCCAAACGCCTCATGCAGTACTACTTTGGTGGTGTGGAAGGAACGTCCTTTAGGTAACCTGAATGTGGTAAATAATGTTATGTAGGCAGTTTACACTGGTGTGATGTGAATGAACGCGTAATAGGTATAGGAGTAAATTGGAGCGTGTTTTCTTCCCATGAAATCATTTTAACAAGCAACATATGCAAAGAATGCCTGGTATCTGTGAATATATTTCTCGTCATTGTAGCATTGCGGGGTTTGAAGGAAGCAACCATTTTGCACCAGGTGAAACACTTGAAACAACCTGTTGCATCGGAGAATGCATTAGTTTTTCTCTATCAGCAGATTAGCAACACATTTCTTTTGTAAACTTTATTTTGCTCACTTACAGTGTGTACACGTATTGCCGACAAGAGTTTGCGTTAACGTCTGATGTTATCTTGGTGTAGCTCATGGAGTGCATAAGCCTCGCGTTTAAGCAGAACTAGCAGAACTCAAAATTTATTGCCAACATTTGCGAAATGTCCGATGCGTAGCTCTGTCCTGATGAGTCTACACCCCTTGTAATGTTTTTGTTTCCTTTGCCAAGTCTTGCGATAGCAACTCCTCAACTGGGATACAAGTATAAGTTGGCAGAATACACAGATGACCAGGTGATTGGTGAGTGAACTGTTAAGCTGTACGTTTCTGCAAGCCCTTCTCCAGACACTCGTTTATAAGTCTTGGACGTCTTTTGTACTTAATTCCAAACCGTTCACGTAAGCTACTTCCATGTGCTGTGCAGTGTCTGTGATAATCTGTTGGAAGGTCAGGGTACTGTTTAAGCCCAACCATTTGAAAAGTTACTGAGATCTGAGACCTTACTTCCATGGACAATATAAAGAATGTGTCGAAGAATTAAATTAATGTCCATTATGAAAACTATTGGATCGACAACGTCTGACTTACAATTTGACGAGGCCGCACGCCAAGTATAATTTGCCAGTTTTGGGAGTAAAAAGTAAAAATAAATATCAGCTGGGGCAGTACAACAATTCCATCTTAATTAGCTGACAAACTGATGTACATGAGGAGACAGCCATATTGTAAAACGAACACTGTGCCCTTCAATAGCTTTCAATGGCCATGTGAAGGTGGATGTTTCAGTCACAAGTTATTTATTTTGAACCTGTTTTTTTTTTCCTAGCTGAGCTTCATGACCGATTGTCAAAAGAGAGCGGTAATAACATAAACATTGAGAAGTGGTAAGTGTAAAGTTGTCTTTGACATATTCACACCAGTTGAGTTTAAACTGCTGGATGCATGCAAAAATTGGTGAATACAGTGAAGTGTAAACATCCAAAATGAAACTTTATAAGGGTGTGATCTTCGTGCCCCTGGGTGGGTGGGTGGGGGATTCTTTTGCGGTAGCTTTTAGGGTATTGAGCCGTGAAAATATGACAGGAAATAATGTGTTGTTTAAGAATTGGTTCCTCTCAGGGGTGAAAAAAGTTTCAAGGCGCGTCCACAAAACAGGATCTTGGTACCTATTGGGGGTTCTTTTCAAAATTTCCGACGAGCACCCCCGTCCTTTTTACATGGGAGCCCTCCACGGGCTGGTGACACTCTTCAAAGTCTAGTTATTCTTACACTTAAAGTAGTAGGTAATCCATTGCTTTTTCACTTGATTTTCATTATCATTTATTTGATAATAAGTGCTTTTCCTTTTTCCAGGCCGTATTGCAGGAATGTAGTATTTGCTGAAACAAGCCCATTGGAGCAACTGATCAATGAAACCAAGACTGGAGACACTACATTTTGTAAGCAAACGCGATGAAATGTATAGTATACCACTTTCTCTATCAAGGGTGAATAATCTCAAAATTGAAAACGAATCCCCAACTTCTTCTCCACGTGAAAGTGCTGCCCAGTAGCTTTTATTTGAGTGTTCTCATACCAGGATGTCATCCACAGACTTTACGTAGGACTATCTTGGACATTCTTATGGCGAATACCACAGGAACCTGCAGCTGAAAGATATCAACTTTTATAGATAATAAATAAATGCATTTATTTTGCGCCATACTCCACTAATTGTCCGTAGCACTTAACAATTGATTTAACTTGAAAAACCACATGATTCAATACAGTTCAGGCTAATAATAAAAAACTATAAATCAAACGAATTCGTAAACAGATATGTCTTAAGCTTAGTTTTAAATACAGTAACTGACGATGAAAGCCTGATGTCCAATGGTAACTATGACCACAATTTTGGAGCAGCAATGGAGTATGCCCTATCACCATAGGTTTTTAAACTAGCCACGGGCGCATCAAGCAAATACTCAAATGGCTTCATGCTAGAGTTTCGTCTGATCCACAGACTCACAATTTTAAGACACATCACATGTTGAACTCTTGGAGTAAAAAGGTTTCGGTTAAAATATGTTTACAATCAAATCTAAGGCATTTTGTCTCCGTTTTGAGTACGTATTATTTACTGCGTATTGTATCTGGCTGTAGGTAAAAATGTAGATTTACTAGCTGGTCTTCTAGTAGACGTCAATGCGACATCTGGGATGCCAGCTGTTTGGAAGAATAAACCAATGTAAGTTGAAAATGTTTAAAATTCAAGATATGGAACATAAATGCAGAGTGATGTAATAGTTACTTGCTTATATCGTACCTGCCGCTCTCCATCAGTATTAAAGGGTTGGTTTGCACTTGGGCTTTTAAGCCTTTAGTGTAAAACAATCCTTCAAATACTAATTGAACACTGCCAAGATATATGGGTTATTGCCGGACCAAGCGTGAGATCAAGATGTAGCAGGACAGTCCGGATATTGCATAAGTCCTGTAGTTGTCTATGGACCGACGGTGTTGGAGATCCACAAACTCGCAAAAACAACGACGCCAAGATCGAGCCATCTTGACTGAACAATCGTGGTCGATAAAGAATTTATTTTATGACACGAAGAACACCAGTCTGTTGCGGGACACAACGGGTAATCTCGAGCG